AGATGGTCATCTGGTTCCCGGACATGGTGAGGGATGTCATCGGCAGCTACAAGAAGTGGTGCCGGAGCATCCTCCGGCGCACCAGCCTCATCCTCGCGCGCGTGTTCGGGCTGCACCTGCGGCTGACCAGCCTCCACACCATGGAGTTTGCGCTGGTCAAGGCGCTGGAGCCGGAGGAGCTGAACAGGGTGGCGCTGAGCAACCGCATGCCCATGACGGGCCTCCTGCTCATGATCCTGAGCCTCATCTACGTGAAGGGCCGCGGCGCCCGGGAGAGCGCCGTCTGGAACGTGCTGCGCATCCTGGGGCTGCGGCCCTGGAAGAAGCACTCCACCTTCGGGGACGTGAGGAAGCTCATCACCGAGGAGTTCGTGCGGCAGAATTATCTGAAGTACCAGCGCGTGCCCTACGTGGAGCCCCCCGAGTATGAGTTCTTCTGGGGCTCCCGGGCCAGTCGTGAGATCACCAAGATGCAGATCATGGAGTTCCTGGCCAGGGTCTTCAAGAAAGATCCCCAGGCCTGGCCTTCCCGTTACAGAGAAGCTCTGGAGGAGGCCAGAGCTCTGCGGGAGGCCAATCCCACCGCCCACTACCCTCGCAGCAGTGTCTCCGAGGACTAGCGAGGTCTGGAGGCAGACGAATAGTTTCTGACCCTCGCCAGGGCTGTGGAAGGGTGGGGGCGGGCCATTAGCGTATGCAGGATTTACAGTGCAGTATTCACGTGTAACTTTTAAGTTTTCAGTACAGTGCTTTTATAACTTTTAAGGCAATGTTGTATTCATTTGGGTACTATTAAGTAGTGTTTAGGATTTATGCATGTATGTTTATGAGTAAGCTCAGTTGGTGCTTTCGCTTTTGTGCTACCTTTCTTGAATTTTTGTACCGGAGACATGCTAAACTCATGAAACACATTGAGAGTTTCCATCTTATTCTTTCCTATGCGACGAAAGATGTGTACTGGGATAGACTGTTCCTGGAGAGTTTGGAAGAACTCACTAGCAAAGCTGGCCTAACTGAGAGAAAAGTCAAGGACTCTCTCTTTATGACCTCGCTGGGCACAGGACACAACCATGTGGAGTGAACTGATTTGAACTGAACTGGTCTCAATGTGAGCATTTGGCACACTTTACTGAATATGTATTCAACCCCACCATAAGTCAGTTTTAAAGTAAACATTAAAGATTCTTGTGATACAATCATTCTTTGGAAAAAGTGTCCTTCATTTTAACAAAGTTGTATGAATGAGAATAAAACAAAGAATTCTCCGTTTTAAAAAAAAGTACAAATATTACAACTATTTTGCCCAGTAGGACTGGAAAATCACTACTCGTGATTACTCCTAAATGTGTGATGTTCATAGGTTTTAAATGTAACTCATGTTCATTTTAAAGACTTTAAAAACTGTAGAAGAGTATAAAAACAAAAACAAGATTGTTCAAAGTCACATCACATGGGAATAACAGTAAAATTTAATTTCCTTCCTTTCAGTTTCTACATTTTATAAAATTAATAGATATATTCTGTCGTCACTTAAAGAGTGAGACATTGTACTAAGCCCTTTACCCGCATTTTCTCCTTTTATTTAATCCTCACAACACCCTTATCTGGCAGGCACTTACAACATCTGAGCCATGGAGAAAAAATACAGAAGTAAATAGGTAATTAACTTTCCATAGATCATAAAGCTTAGTAAGGGAAGGAGGCAGGATTTGAAATCAGGGAAAATGAATCCAGAGCCCACATCTGTTCCCATCTACCTATAACTAAAACCTCTCCCACCTGCCTCCTGGCTTTTATTTCTTTGTGTTGTTTTAATTTCCTATTAGAGTATACAGCCTTCACTCCCACCCTCAACCCTCACGGGATCATGGGCCACATAGACAGACTAAAAATTCAATTTTTCTAATTATAATCTTTTAAGGAAAGCAACAGTAGTCTAATTGCATAAATTAGCAAATTTAGTTTCAGATTAATTAACCTAGCCCAGTCATACTCCTGCTTAGCAGTGAAGTCGAGGTTTGAAAAAATGTTTTCTGAGGGTTGGAGATGAAGGAGCTTTCTCTGACAAACAGTACCCAAGGAACACCCAAGACACTGGGGAGGGGGAAGTTGGGTTGGGGTATGGAATTTTCCCTATCAGGACAGCTGTGTCCCAGCAGTGCTTGAGTTGCAACTGCCAGTAGGTAAATCCTCAGAGGGTGGGATGGGGTGAGGGTGGGAGTGAGGCAATTCTGGGAGAGAAATATCATTATAAAGCTTTGTGTCCTACAAGGGGAAGATAGCAGGGGGACCCTAATAAAATCAGAAATCCTTTAACTACAGAATAGTAGAAAAGATCATTTGGCCAAAGTCAGAACTTTTTCTGGAGAGGATGGATAATGAGATGGACACATATGTCACAGCATATCTAAAAGAAGTTAACTCATAGTCATTTGGCAGAGAGAATTACAATGTGGGTTGGGAGCGGGAATTCCCAACATTGTGGCATTTCTTAACGGTGTGTTTTCTATCTACCGCCCTCTCTGTGTGTCAGTGCTGAAAATGATCAAGAAGCCCTTGTGTACATTGAGATGAAGTCCATCCTCAGATAAGTGGATTTCCCGTGAATCTTTCAAGAGGGTTGGGGGATGGAGAATGAGGACATTCCTGCAATAACCCATGTGGGGGTGACCTGGTGTTGATGTAGTCTCTTGCTTACAGCCAGCATGAGTGTCCTACCTGTTTATAAATTTTAGAATTGTTCAGAAATCTTATCTCTCCCCAATACACCCAAAAAATTTCCCCAGAATCCAAAGAAATCTCCTTTTCATTTAAAATTATGGGACTGTCCGGAATGTTCCATTTCTGGAGCAGAACCATGACTGCCGTTCCTCTGTGGAATGCTGCCGGTCACTTTCTCTAATGCCCTAATACTTTCCTCACTGCTGGATTAACTCCTTGCAGCAACTGTAACCCCTGTGCACTTTTTGCAGCCAGACCTAGAGATCACCAGGCAAAAAGTTTTCTCACATTCCCTTTTAACTTGGTGTGTTTCTATCTACCGCCCTCTCTGCTGTGAGAGTCAGAGAGAACCACCCTTCACAAAGCTGGTCCAAACTCTCCCACACAGGCAGCCCAGTTATGGTATGGAAGACCTAAACTTTGCAGGAGAACCAGATGAGACAAGAGGAGCTGACCCCAGCCAGGCACAGGTGCGGGGCTACTTGGCTCCTATGCTGTCTCAGGCAGGCACAAATCAAGGAAGAGCCTTCCCAGATGTGCAGTGCATTTAATTCCTGACACCTGTTCCTGCAGGGACAGCAGCTTGAGGTATGAAGAGGGCATACTCAACCTCTCTCCTTGGTTTTCACTTTGAGCTCTAAATGAAAAAGTTAGAGGTTGTCAACTATTTTCCAAAAGGTTCGCCTACAAGGTGCTGGGATAGGAAAAGGGTCAGTGGATCTTCAGTGTTACAATCCAGGATAACAGTGTGGTGAAGCCCAGATGGCTGTGGCTTGGAGAGGTTTGCCTAATTCCTCATAACATGACCTTTTACCTGCCAACTGAAGCCTTGTTTCTTTACAAACACCTGCACACATATATCAGTTTAACTAACTTCATTTTATTAAAGTAAAGAAGGGCAAAAAAGACCTTTGTAAATTTAATATAAAATATAATGACACCTAGTGTAAGCTGTCCCGAGAGGAAATAAACAACCTTAATCAGCAGCATTATTAAATAGAAAAATGTTTTAAATGAACTTCTTATGCAGCTAAGTATTTCCTATGACTGAAAAGTCTTCTATTCCCTCCTCCACATTCAACTCATGAACACCCCTTTCTAGGAGAACCCTCCATTTTCCATCCAGGCACAGCCATGTTCTAAACCCACCCAAAATATACATGCTATTTATAAATAAGTACATTTTATTTCTCTCTCTTCTTAAATTGTTAGACATGTAATGGTAAGAACTGTCCATCATTCACTTGATGCTTGACTTAGGGATGGGCATGTAAATGTGCTTAATATACGAGTTAAGAAACTCAAAACATTAGAAAAACCTTCTCCTCCAACAGGAAAATGAAACTACACCCACCAACAAGCAACCAATCTGAAATAAATATAGATAAGTTGAAATTAATGAAAGAAAGAAACAGCATATAGGAAAAGAATGAAAGCAATATTTTTTTTCCAAAATCATTTCTTCAACAAAATAAGTCATAATCTAGTTATTTTTTAAAGGAGAAATATTGCAAATAAAATAACTATTTAATTCTTACTAGGCAAATAGGAGGCCAAGGACGTAGATCAAGGCTCCAAAGATAAACACAAATACCAAGTGAAAAAATGAAAAAAAAATACAGCCTTGTTTATTAAATCAAGATGCTCTGTGTATACCGTTCAAAGATATATTAAAAGCAAATATCCTGTAATAGCAAGAGTGAATTAAATTAGCATTTTGTACCCTGCATGTAAATCACTACATGCTATTGTATGAATTCATTCAGAATGCATATTGAGAGCCTAATATGTTGCAGATGCAGTGGTAAGAGTTAGAAATGCAAGACTGAACAAAATAGACATTGTCCTGTGCTTACAGAACATTCATTGCTTTGAAAGAAGCAGGCAAATAAAAAGAATTACACTTCAGGGTCATGAATGCCATCCTAGGAGAAGTATGGAGCACAAAGAGGCACAGACAGGTGCATACAATTCAAGACTTTCCTACAGAAGTGAGGCACAAATTGGCGTCTTTAGGATGATAAGTAATTAACAATGTGAAAGTGGTATGGAGAAGGGTGAAATTGGGACTAGGGTTTCATTGTGTTCAGGGATCTTCTGTGTAACCACCCAGGGAAGCATATGGAACTACAAAATGAGTTTCTCAAAATTGTGTAAAAAAGGAGATGGAAAATCAACACATATCAGAATTGGGCAGAAGCTAGATTATCAGATAGAGGGAGAAATCACGCTGGAAATATAGTCAGTTTCCTCACAGATTTGACAAAAAGAGAGATAATATTAGTCATGTGAAGGACCAACAGATTTAAAAGGGTTCAGATAAAGTACAGCCTTGTTTTTAATGAAGCTCTTTGGGTTGTTGTTGTTTACTACATTCTAATCAAGAGTCAGAAACAGTTCTCCTCATCTTTTAATTTGACCCATTATTCTTTGTTTCATCAACTCAGGGTTTGGAGTCCTTCACTATATTATACACTTTTCATATATAAAGAGTTTCATGTGCCTCCTATTAACCCGCCAATTTGACATAAAAAATTTCAGAGATTATTGTTTGCTGTATACATTGACTTGATTATATATTTATTTAACAGAGATTTATTGAACTTCAACTATATGGCTAACATGCTGGGGATAGGTACAAATTGGTGAATTAAGCAATGATGACTCTTGGCACCCTCAAGTAGTTTACTCATAAACTTGGTATCGATAGAGTAGAAGAAAATAAACAAACAAATGAAGCATTAAATACAAATTATTTAATTGGATAATATGTATGAAAAAATGACTTGGTTAGAGAAAAAGAGAATAGTTGAGGAGACCAGCTAAGACAGGATGCTCACCAGTGACTTTTCTGAAAAGGTGAAATTTAAGCTGATACTTGAAAAGATAGCAAGAGGACTAGCAAAGATAATAGAGAAGATTATTCCAGGCAGAAAAAAAGAAAAAAGCATATATGAAGGCCAAGAGTTAATTAACTGGGTTTTATGATTCCCTTTAAGACCAGAAGTAGTAATATGAATAGGATGGCCAACATGCAACACCCAACACTATTTTCTTGTGTGTCTCCATAGCTGAGACTGCACAAGTAAACTATTTAATTTCTCAGTCTTTCAGTTACATTCCAGTAGAAAGACATAAGGAGATATCTATTTGTGCTTTTCCTTCTTGCATCCTTTTTCTCTTTGCAGGAATGTATAAGGAACATCAGGAGCTATTGCAGCTTCTATAATGAAAAGTATTAAAAGAACCAAAAGAAGCACAAAGAAATTGAACCAAACATCTTTAAACTGTTGAACAAATACCAATAGCAACCTACTTATTTCTGAATTTCTTGGCATGTAGAATAAGACCCTATTTCTTTAAGCTATTGTCTTGTGGTTTTTTTATTTTGTGAAGCTCAAAGCATCCTCAATAGGTATAAATCTCCATTTTTTCCCTTATCTCCCAGTGTGTACCTTGTGCTCATTTGAAGTATTAC